AGATATCTCTCATTCCACAAATATTCAAACTTCCAAAGGGGGACATTTGTGATAATGAAACAGAGGAAACACTGCAAGGAAAATACTTGGGAGAGAAGATCCCCCTGGAGCCTTCTCTTCTCCAGGCTGAACAGCCCCAACTCTCTCAGCCTGTCTCCATAGCAGAGGTGCTCCAGCCCTCGGATCATCTTCGTGGCCTCCTCTGGACCTGCTCCAGCAGCTCCATGTCCTTCTTGTGCTGGGGACTCCAGAGCTGAATGCAGTATTTCAGGTGGTGAATGGATTATATTATAATATTATATTATATTATATATATATTATATTACGTAATATATAATCCAATATATTATCACCTTGCTGAGCAGACCCCACTCCTGCACGCGGACTCAGCGCGGTGCGTCCCTGAAATAACCAGATACCACAAGTGCAGTTGCTCAGGGCACCCAGGTCTGTCGCTGCACAACGAACACTAACTTTGTCAAACTGCTGACACCAGCATTTTCTGGGCTTTCTGAGAGCGTTTTGCTCATTACAAAATAAATTTTATAGAACATTTAAAAGCTGGTGTTTTATACCACGATGATCTCAAACACATGGCCAGCAGGCAAAATAAATTAACTGGAGTTCTCAGTAATGAGAAAAATGCATCGGTAGCATCATTAGCCAACCTCATCCTACTTTCCTATTCCTTAAAACTGTAGTTTCAGTGAATGCAATAGATTTTGATTTCAAGCACCACACATCACAGAACTTTCAAAGTTTTTCAGTTTTGGCATCCCCTACTTAACTTTAGTCATGTTGAAATGATAATCTGTGTTTTGTTATGACTAGTCAGTTTTGGCCATCTAAAAAACCTAAAAGCAGCTATCATTTTGCCACTTGCAGCTTCAAAACCTTGGTAGGTGAATCAAATAATTTCATCTTTCCTTCCACAGTGGGACTGGAAGCAGTAAATTTTTTTTTTCTTTTTTTTTTTTTTTATAAGATGGCACCACAGTAGGCACAGAATTAGCAAACTGTTCATATTGTTCTGCAGGTCTAATGAGACAAGTTATGTCTGGCCCTGCAATTAAAATAATCCATTTGCTCACCCTTCTTCCTATTAGCATGTGAACTTCAAACCTACAAAAAGTAGCAGACTGAAATCTCTGGAGAATAGAGGTAAGAGGATAACCTTGTCCCCACGTAATGTCCTTCCTGTCTGTGGTCTCCTTGTCTCATGAGAAATAATACGTGTATTTTAAAAGAAGATCACTAATAAGATGGCAATCTCAATGTAAATCGACCTTAGGGCAACACAGGTTCATTTACTTAAGTACAACTAGTGGGGATCAATAAAAAAAAATTTCCATTGGGAGTATGCTTTCACTTGGCCTAAAAAAAAGGAGTTTTACAGTGGGGCAGTTACTTTGAATTCCACCTACCCATCACGTTAAAAATAAAGAAAAATCCCCCAGCCAATTTAAGTACATTTTAGCCTGTGTGGCAGCAGGGTGTGATTATCCTGAGCAGAGATGTGAGGGAAAACTGACTGATGGGCACCTATTTAAATGGGCAGGCTGGTGACGAAGGCTTCTAGATGCTGGAGCATGAGAAAACTCAGTCTAGCTTTCTGACAGTCAGCCCTGACTCCAAAAATCAATACACAATGCTTTCTGCTGCTGCAATAAACCACACAGAATTATGTAAAGCTTGGAGACAAGATTATATTTTCGAAGTCATAAACCATGCTGTCTCCTCATAAATGGCTGTGGAGGACAGAGCTTGTAAAGTGTCCTTTGATCATCTGTAGGCTCACAGAAAACCAGAAAGGTTTCAAATGGAATTGTTGCCACTTGCATGTCTATCTATCCAACTGCATCTTAATTTCTCTAGAAAACTCACCAGACATGAATTATGTATGTCTTAAAATGTTATAAAGGCATAACATAAGCTTAGCTGCCTGACTGAATTATTCTAATCAGACATCTACCAGTATACTGAGAGACTGGAAAAAAGGTTTTAGGTCTGACAGTATCATACTATCACCATAGAGATCCAGGGAGTTTTTCTAATGCAAGAGTTGTCAAAAGGTGTCTGTTTTAATGAATGAGAATCAGAGAGACAAAGGATGAGATCATAAACGTTTCACTAAACCACCATAAAATTCTTCCAACTATGTGCAAAGTGCTGTCTTAATTATTTTTTTTAAGCTTTAAAAATGAACCAACCTGTATGAAATCTCCACAACATGGGTTGAGGAACCATGATGGTGCAGTATGCCATTTTGTCATCAAAAGAAAGCCTTAAAAACGCTTGAGAACCCGCACTGAAACCAGAGAAGTATTCAATCACCTCACTTCTTTCCTCATTCTGGAGGAAATAAATCTCTATATGTGCACACAGACCTCCTACAGCCCCTCAATGCACAAGCTATTGTGATCAATCACAATTTTAAAATTAAACAAAAAAGCTCCTTTTCTTCAATTATGATTAAAGACCAAACCAAGCAGGTTAGCTTTTCAGCAGAAGCTCCAGGTCTCAAGACTTAACATCAAATATACTGAGAGTTTGCAATTTTGTTTACGAGATTTTGGAGGAGGAAGGGAAGAAGGAAGAAAATGAATGATCCCATCAGCCCAGTGGGTAGTAAACCATAGCAAAGTGGTGTTTCTTACATTACCATGACAATCAAGTTATTGAAACTGAAAAATAGCAACATAAACAGAGGACGAAAGAGTTTTTCCACAGTAACTAAGCCCCTGCATCTTGCAAGGCCTGCTTTCTTTCCATTCACTCCTGAAAGTAGGGGCTGAACGCTCCCTGGGTCCACATGGCCTTCACCTGCCATGTTTTCAAAAGTAGCTGCAGAGAAACAGGTACCCTTAGCACACAGGAAAGATGCAGAAGTCGTGATTACTAAAGTCTCTTGCCAGGTAAGGATTAAAAATAGTGTTGTTTAGCTTGGTAAAGCCATCAGCACTGGCAGCTGTCACCCACCAACCAGATGGGGAAACCTTGGGTACCACTGCATCACATATCATCCCCCACAGATCCAGAAGTGCTTCCCAAGCCCACACAACAACACAGTTTGCTTCACTCGCAGATCCCTTTAGACATTTATCAGCTGAGTAATGCACATCACCACCACATGTCATTTGAAGTGGATAAGAGCACAAAAATCTCCTTATGACTAAAAGAAAGGATTTAGATAAGCAGAACCTAATTACTGAACTGTTAGAAATGAGAGCCGCAAGAGTTTAGCATTCCCTTCCCTTCACAAAACCAGTTACAAAATCAAGAGTGATTTCTGCAGGCAGATGTCCCAGTCCATCTCTCTTGCACCACAGTGCCACCACCAGACACAACGTGGTGGCAAACATTTCAGATCTGCCCCACGGCGTTAAAGATCACCTATATCTCCAAGAACACATGCAGCAGGACCTACCGCCCGCCTTGCTGAACCTGCAAGAGCTGCTGGGTGAAGCCACGGGATTTTCAGTAACAGAAAACACAAATAGCAAACCAGTCATACCAGAGAAGAGACCACCTGATCTTCCATGAAGCTCCACAGCAACGCCTAACACTCAAAAGTAAATTTCTTTGTTTTCTTTTCAGGGTGATCTGGGCTGTTGCCAGAAACAGGACCCTTCTTTTCCTGAATCCCCTAGGATTGCTAGTAACATTCCAATTCAAGTTGTAGGAAATGATGTTTCTAAGTTTTTTTTTCTGCTGAGACAGAAGGGCTGTAAGTAACAGGCAGTTGCTAATACATTTGTTTAAAACAACCACACATTATGAAGTAGCCTCAAAAAAAGTTGCTGCTTTTTTAAGCCTTTGATTTTAGGTTTCTTTACTGTTCAGTGAATTATCCTGCTATTGTTCCTCCTGCATTCCTGGACCAATAGGTAAGAGAAGCATGTCGGAAATTCCATGCAAGAACAAGCCTCTAGGTCATTTAGCTACAACAGCACGCACCTTTTGGACTTCCCTTCTCTCTCCTGCCTGGGCTCTGGTACTGCTGCCAACTACCTTACCTAAAAGAACTCAGTGAAGGTTATTCAGCATTGTGTCCTAAGGATCCACCTTCGCTCTGCAGCGGAAAATGGACATTTAGACCACTGGAATAACAGATGGTTCTAATTAGAAGCTAGGCATGATCTTTCTTACCCGCTCTCACGTAACATTTGAGGCTGGTGACTTCACAGTGCTGACACAGTGCAACAGTCTCACTTTTCGTTCTCAACCAACAGCTCTATAACCAACATCTGGTCTCAGGGAGAGGCTCAAGATCCAGTCAAAGGATCCCAACAAAGATAAGGATGCCAGCTGGCCACAAAAGCACGAGTTTGTCATTCTTACAAAATGCCAACGATACTTCTCAGCCTCCCGATAAGTTAGACAGTTAAAATAGGATGAACAGGATATGTAGGACCATTAAGACAGGTCTGTTCTCCATAGCTTTGCTGATAGTCAGAAGATTGGCTGAAACTTCCAGGACTCTGTCTTATAACAAAAAGGGTGCAATATTGCGTGGATGTTCTGTGGGGTTTTTGTTTGGTTTAGTGTTTCAGTTTTAGCAGGCTAAATTGCAAAGCACTTTGTCAGGATTTGTCCACTCTTGAATATTTTATCACTTTAGGGCTCATACGAAATGAAAGGGATGCACAGAATTATCACTGCAGTACTCTCTCTGCATTATTTACAACCTTTGGGGCTGCAGCACTTCAGCATAATATTGCTAACATAAAAAGGCAGAATTTCGCCTCAAGCCAGGTTTTTAGTTTCACGGTCTGCAGCGCAACACGATGGAAAAAGGTCTGTGAACCTCCCTTACACATCCCATCCCCTACCCCCACTTTCTAAATGCTGGCCCTCCGACGTGCAAAGAATCTGAACAGATGAAAACTCCACAGCATTCAGTGGAAGCGGGACCAGTAAACCCCTGTGCCTCTAGGGAAGAATACATGGCCTTGTTTCACCAACATGCCTAGTTATTCCCACTCCACCCTTTTTCTTGCCTTGTTGAAGTCCTCTGAAGTTGCTCTCATTTCCTTCCACGTCTTGTTCAACAGCTGAATGCAGATACAGAAGAACTCCTCAAACGATCTGTCATGGGTGAAGAACATGGGATGGAAATCGTTGCAGGTCTCACTGGCTAAAAACAGAAAAACAAGGAAGGTGGAATAAAACATATACAGGCAAGAGCTTCAAAATATAAACATAAAATACAATCAGCCACAAAATTAAAAAAAACACTGTGATTAAGACAAATCCCAGTTCTAGTAGCAAAGGATGTCAAAACATTATCCCAAAAAGCCAGCCTTGGTCTACAGTCTTACAGACAATGAAACACCGTATAGAGCCTGTCTGCAGGAGACCAGCAGCAAGAACAAGAGGAAGCAACTACCTGTTTGCCTGAGTTATTGTCTCAATGGGTGTTTTGTTTGTGCCAAGTGTCGTTATTCAGGCTGGGACAGAGACATAGGGAAGAAGCACAAGTCTCCCCATCAAAACAACAGCCTTCCCCATTGCTATCAGCATGTACCACACTGCCTGCTGAGAACCAAACGCTAAACCCCATCAGTCACAAAACAGTATCAGATCAATGTACACATTGAAATGTGAAGCTCTGCTGACACGGCAGATGATCTACCATATTGTACATGGATATACCACAGGGGAAACCAGGGAAATCCAGACAGACATGTAGACAAGAATGTAACTGATTAAATCTGTTCTTTGAAAATCACTTGAAACAAAAGAAATGGATCTTCTGTCATCTGTCCCTTATCTGAAAAGGAAGAGAACCAACCACTCAAACCCAAACTTCCCTTTTTAAATCAAACACTGGCTTTAGGGGAAAAAAAAAAAAAAAAAAAAGAATACAGAATACTATAATAACCATCCCGAAAGTACTGTTTGTCAAGACTGCTCTGAATCTCCTTGAATGAAGAATGTATTTTCAAAAAGTAAGAGCTGAAGCAATGCTGACCTCTGGGTACATCTGAGCAACCTGGAGACAGAAGGGGCTTTAGCCAAGGACGGAAAAAGGATCCTTAGTCTCTGCCATGGCTTGTAGGGCTTCCTCAGTAGGTTGCATATTTATATTCTTAAAAAACTAACCAAAAAAGTCGAGTTGACTAAGCCTTTCTTTATATACCCAGTCCCCAAATCTATCAGCTTCGGCTTTCACCCCTGCGTGAGTGCTGCTGTGAACTTTTCCACCAGTCACTCGCATCCCTATACAGCAGCATCTTCCCTTGCTTCAGGATCAAACAGCCACTGCTTAGGCAAGCTTCCTCCTCTGCAAGAACAGCAGAATTCTCACGCACTGCGATAAATCAGCCTTCTCCTGAGGCTGGTTCACTGCCTGACATTTGCTTTCTCTCAGTGGAACTGGAGAAATTAGAATTAAGACTCTTTGCAGGAGAATGTGAATGGCTCATGCAGGCTGACTCCCCACATCAGCTGCAAACACTTGGTCCTGGTACCTCTTCTAGCCGCAAAACCACACTTCCAGTGTGTTTAGTTACCTCTGCTGCACCAGTAGCTCTACACAGGAACATGAGCTGTGCTTAGAATCACCTAAACCCTCAAAGGAAAAAGAGCTTCTGATCTTTCCCATCATGCAGTATTCCAATTATAAAGCAAAACTCTGAAGCTTAATTGTAAATTTGAAGCTTAATTTTAACATCAGATTTACTAAGACCTAATCAATTCCTCAGCTACGTAGCAAGGATGAGTTAATTTTGGAGCACAGGTTTCATCCTAATGAAATAAACTCCATTTACTTCAAAGGACGTGCAGTCAAGGGGGAATCAGTCAAAGCAGAGACCTGTATTTATGAGGCATGAGTCAATCCCTTTAAAAGAATAAAATGCCTCAGGCATGATTTTCAGAGCACCTTCAGCTTCCATTCACTCCACTGGAGCTGCAAGGGCTCAGCACTTCCAATAATCAGACTTCCAGTCTGTAACAATGTCAGAGACACAGCAGAGCAGATTCTCAGAGGGCACTTGTCTTTAAGTCATGAAATACTATAATGATGAGAAGAAATAAAATAACACCAAGCAGAAGAAGGCAGCCACTACCTTCGCTGTATAAATCACAGTGCGAAACAAGGCAATAAGCCTCGACGCGCACTGGCCTTTCTGATCCTCCTCAGAGCCCGAGCTCCTCGCTGCTTCTGCTCATAAAAATCAATAAATCAAAATTAATGGAAAGGCTAGGGATTCTCAGAATCTTGATCATCGGTTCTAACTCATGCCCCTTATGATAATCAGCCCCAAAACGTATCTACTATGGTGACTGTTCTGCATGCAGAATCAGAGATGCCACCTCTCCTCTCCTTTTGTTTTTGTAAGTAGGCAACACACTGTTTTATGCCTTCTCAATCTGAAAGAGTAAAAATCACTGTTATTGATATAAATGGAGAAAGTTAGGCCTCTTAGAAGGCAGGATCAATGCCTCAAAGCACAAAACAAATCCTAAGAAAAATCCAAAACCAAATGATGAACTGCTTCCTCAAAATTCCCACCAGCATCTACATAGAAGAGAGAAAAAAAAAAATCCATACTCTACTTCAAAGGTAGTTTTTTTGTACGTCTCAAAAGTTCCATCCAAAATAGTACAATTCGACGGAGAAATCACGAATGAAGCACCTCAGCAGTGGTGACACTATAGTGTGTGTACAGGCTGCAGCTCAGGTCATGTCTACGTTCTGCTCAGAGCATTTAAATATCTAATGAATCACAGAACCATAGAATCATAGAATGATTAGGGTT